TGGTAAATGACATGCCTTCCCAAACACCAACTTGTATGGCGACATGCCAATTGGAGTTTTGAAAGCGGTTCGATACGCCCAAAGTGCATCATCTAACTTCCTCGCCCAATCTGTTCTAGTAGCATTCACAGTCTTAGTCAGCACACTCTTTATTTCTCTATTCGAGACTTCCACTTGCCTGCTGGTTTGTGGATGATATGGGGTGGCCACCTTGTGGCGTATATCATACTTCTCCAACAACTTTGCAAAGGATCGATTAAAAAAGTGAGTGCCTCTGTAACTGGTTATTGCCCTTGGGGTGACAAATCGTGTGAAAATGTTCTTTCTCAGAAAACTAATTACCCCCTTTGCATCATTTGTAGGGAGTGCTGCAGCTTCCACCCATCTGTACACGTAGTCCACAGCGATGAGTATGTACTTGTTGCCATATGAGCTGACGAACAACCTCCATGAAGTCGATCCCTCATACATCAAACACTTCTACCTCCTGAATTGGGTTCATGGGCATCTCATGTCTGCGGGAAATGTTCCCGGTTTGTTGGCATTCATCACAGCCCTTTATCCATATATGTGCATCTTTGAACAGTGTTGGCCAGTAGAACCCCGACTCCAAGACTTCCTTAGCTGTCCTTACTCCCCGAAGTGCCCACCATATGGTGATGCGTGACATGCCTGCAAAATGGTAGACTGGTCTATCTCAGGGATACATCTCCGGATCATGTTATCAACACAAATCCTGAACAAATAAGGCTCATCCCAATAATACATGCGACAATCACGAAAGAACTTTTTATTTTGAACAGAGGAAAGGTCATAAGGAACAATACCGCTCGCCAGGTAGTTTGCAATGTCTGCATACCATGGCGCTTCCTCGAGACTCGTGGCTAGTAGTTGTTCATCTGGAAAAGTTTCCAGAATCTCTTCTACCTCAACCTTCTTTTCAGCTCCTTCTAGCCTGGATAAATGGTCAGCTACTTGGTTCTTCGTTCCCTTTCGGTCACGGATCTCCAAATAAAATTCTTGCAGTAGTAGCACCCATCGAATCAGGCGTGGTTTTGACTCCTTCTTTTCAATTAAGCGCCTGAGAGCAGCATGGTCAGTATAAACAATTACCTTTGAGCCTATCAGGTATGACCTGAACTTGTCAAACTCGAACACCACTGTCAGCATCTCCTTCTTGGTCACAATGTAATTTAGCTGGGCTCTACTCAACGTTCTACTTGCGTAGTATATTGGATGTATGATTTTATCTTTTCGCTGCCCAAGAACTGCTCCCACAGCATAGTCACTAGCATCACACATCAGCTCAAATGGTTGCTCCCAGTTGGGGGCAACTATGATAGGTGTTGTTACCAGTCTCTTCTTTAATTCCTCAAAAGCTACCATGCTGTCATCAGAAAACACAAAAGGGTGATCTTTTTCAAGCAACAAAGGGTTAGCAATTTTGGAAAATCTTTTATAAATCTTCTATAGAAACCGACGTGCCCAAGAAAACTTCTGATTGCTTTGACGAAGGTGGGTGGTGGAAGCCTTTCTATCACGTCAACCTTTGCTCGATCCACCTCAATACCTTTACTTGACACTAAGTGCCCCAAGACTATACCTTCCTGTACCATGAAATGGCACTTTTCCCAGTTGAGTACCAGATTAGTCTCGATACACCTTTTCAAAACTCTTCTCAAGTTCACAAGGCAATCTTCGAATGAGTTCCCCACCACCGAGAAGTCATCCATGAAAACCTCCATTATCTTCTCTACCATATCTGTAATGATGGCCATCATGCACCTTTGGAATGTGGCGGGTGCGTTGCATAGGCCAAACGGCATTTGCCGAAAAGCGTAGATTCCATAAGGGCAGGTGAACGACGTTTTTTCTCTATCCTCCGTGGCAATAGAAATCTGATTGTACCCCGAGTACCCATCCAGAAAGCAAGAGTGAGACCTCCCTGCCAATCTATCTAGCATCTGATCGATGAATGGCAGTAGGAAATGGTCCTTCATGGTAGCCAAGTTCAACTTCCTGTAATCCATACAGATTCGCCAACCTGTGACTGTTCGTGTAGAGATCAACTCGTTCTTCTCATTTTTCACTACCGTCATACCTCCCTTTTTCGGTACACACTGCACTGGGCTAACCCAGTTGCTGTCAGAGATGGGGAACATGATTATCGCATCTAACCATTTAATCACTTTTTTTCACCACTTTTTTCATGTTGGGGTTCAGTCTTCTTTGATGTTCTCTGGACGGTTTGTGCCCATCTTCCGGTAGAATCTTATGCATACAGAAGGTCGGGATGATCCCCTTAATTTCTTCAATGGTCCACCCAATTACAGTCTTGCACTCTGTTAGTACCTGCAAAAATTGTTGTGCCTGCACAACTAACAAACTAGCTGAGATAATAACAGGTAAAGTTGAGTCTGGTCCTAAGAATGCATACCTGGATGGGATGGCAGTGGCTTTAGTTCCAACTTTGGTGGCTCTTCTATTGACGGCTTAGCTGGAGGAGTTTTTCTTTCCTCTAAGTGCAAAAGCTCAAATTCGAGCTCCCTTTTCCAAAAACCTTGGACTTCAAGAGCAAGTACCCACTTAGCCAACTCTTCTCCGTTAGCTTTATCTAAGTTCATGAGACAAGCTGCTAGAGGGTCTTTAATGTTCAGTGCCTCATCGTCCTCCTCCAAAACTACATCCACCGCATCTATCTGAGAGCAATTAGCAAATTACTTGGTCTCCTCATAGATTTCTGCACATTGAATGTTATCTCTTCATCGTTTAATCTCATCTTGAGCTGTCCAGTTTCACAATCAATTAAAGCTCTCCCAGTGGCCAAGAATGGTCTTCCTAAAATTATGGGAATTTCCTCGTCAACCCGACAATCAAGGATGACGAAATTTGCTGGGAACACAATCTTCCCAACCTGTACCAATACATCATCTAAATCCCAGAGGGCCCCTTCACTGTTCGATCAGCCAACTGTAGTAGCATAGACGTGGGTCTAGCTCTTCCAATGCCTAGCCTTTTATAGATAGCTAGGGGCATAAGGTTTGTGCTTGCTCCTAGATCACACGGTGCCTTAGCAAATTCAAAGTTGCCTATTGTGCATGGAATTGTGAAACTCCCTAGGTCAGATAGCTTCTCAGCTATGGGTCTCGTTACAACATCACTGCAAGTCTGAGTCAGTGTAACCGTGGCCAAGTCTTGAAAGTCGAACTTGTGGGACATCAAGTCCTTCATCATCTTCGCATAACCAGGCATCTCCTTTAAAGCATCAATCAATGGAATGTTTTCCTGAATTTGCTTCAACATCTCCAAGAATTTCTTGTACTGCTCATCTTTCTGATACTTGGCCAATCTCTGTGGAAATGGTGCTGGAGGTCTCTTCTTCCCTGTGATCTAATTTTTTTCTTGTTCGGGCACTGCTTCTACTTTCGGGTCCGGTGCAACCTCCGTCTCTTTCACAACTTCCTCTGCTTTGTTGGTGTTCTCGTGTGCCTGATGTACCGTCACCTCAGTTAACCTTGCTGAATTGTCTAGCTCAACAGGTACTGGCACCAGTGTCTCAGTCGGTCTGCTTTCGCGAGCAATTTCTTGCTCCAGATCTAAGTCTCTACCATTACGGAGACTCACTACCATCAGCTGTTTCGGGCCCTGATCTTTTGGATTAATTTGGGTGTCTGTAGGTAATGTCCCATGAGGACGATTATTAAGGGCCATGGAAATCTGTCCTAATTGGATCTCCATATTCTTTATCACTAACTCATGTGAATCTACTCTGTCGGCTAGTTTTCCAGTGGACCCAATCACTTGTTGCATCATTCCCTCAAGTTTAGCAAACCCATCTTTATGTCTCACAATTTGTTGTTGTGGAGGTTGTTGATAAGCCTGCGGCTGATTTTGTTGGTTGTACCCTTGTTGCCTTTGGTAAGGTACCATTTGCCCCTGAGGTCGCATAGACCCATGGTTAATGTTGTTATTGTACTACTACTGAGCTGGTCTATATTGTTGATTCTGCTAACCCCAATTCTGACCACCTGGTCTCGATCCCCCATAGTTGGACACATAATTCATATTCTCCTGATATTGTTGATTATCACCTTCAGCACTCCATGAGCAGACATATGGTTGATTAATGCATGACGTACATGGACCCCCATTAGTTGCATCAACTATGTGTACCTGCTGCTTCTGGCCTGATTCTTCAACCTTTTTGGTGAGGATGCTCATTTGTGTCAGTAGAGTGGCCATATTTTCAACCATGGAGTTAGCCGGGCCTAGAGCCACTGAGTGCACCACAGGAGTGATTGGAGCGTTTCTTGTTGTCCATCTTGAGTTTTGTGCCATCTTGTTGAGTAGGATCTTGCTCTCTCTGAATGTCTTGGTAAAAAATGCTCCACCTACTGAAACATCAACATTGGCTTTCAACGTATGTGCTAAACCCATGTAAAATCTCTGCCCCAACATCTGCTCTGGAATACCATGATGTGGACACGTAACCAGCAGACCCTTGAATCTCTCCCATGTTTCGTGTAGCGTCTCAGTTGGTTTCTGTCTGAAGTTCAATATCTCATCAATTTGCTGAGCAGCCTTGTTGGGTGGATGAAATTTTTTCAAATATTGCTTGACTAATTCCTCCCAAGTAGTGATGGAGTTGATGGGGAGAGAACTAAGCCAAGTCTGAGCTGCTCCTGTCACCGAGAATGGAAACAACAACAAACGTATTGCTTCCGGTGTCATGTTGTGTTGCCTCTGCATGGCACAGATTGACAGGAAATTCTTTAGATGCCGCTGAGGATCTTCAACGTATGACCCAGAAAATAGTCCCTTGTTCTGCAACAGATGTAGCATGTTATTTGTGATCTGGAACGAATCTGTTTGTATTTGAGGGACTACAATTGCAGTTGCTAAATTGTCAGCGGTGGGTTGTGCCCAGTCATATTGTGCTGCTTCTAGCACAAGATGTGCCATACCCTGATCGTTTGGGTCATTCACGTTGTCTCTGTTGTTTGGATTATCGTCTTCCATGTCTGGTTCAATGTTTTCGGTTGAGTTCTGTTGTCATTTGCCATTCCTATTTGCACGATTTAATGCCTTGAACACTTTCTCAGGATCTGATAATGCTTCGAACAATTCACCAGTTCTTGAGGAGTTTCTAGGCATGCACCTGTAACAACCACGACTACAAACGTTAGAATTTCAATGGTCAGTTTAAATTGAAGAAAATTGACTACACAAAGAATTTTTGCACTTCTTTTTAACTGCAATCAATAAACCGTTAATTCCCCGGCAATGGCGCCAAAATTTGATCACGCCCAACTATGCCTTATAAAAAGGACAAAGCGGTCGCTGCAAATATATTCTGGTTAACAAGTCCGGAGTCGAATCCCACAGGGAATTAACCTATCAATCACAGCTATTGGACTCACAGAAATTTACGTATTCAATCTTCAGAGATATTTGAGTAACAAATTTCGTGTTTATTAACTAAATATTATGTAATAAAAATGTAGTAATCAAGGACTAGCTATAAACGGTTTGTAAGCAAGAATGAGAATGGTCTAAGGTTCTGATTTCCCCTCTTGTCGGAATCTTTTCCGCTATGTTTGCTATAAATTTTCCTAAGGCTTCTCTATCGATCATGAGCACTCTGACTGTCGTAACTCTCTCCCGAGTAGTTACAATAATATTGTATACGGCTAAAATCGGAGAGTCCGATTTTATGATCATTATGACGCTCCATAGCCCGTCTCCAGAAGGCTCGAGGCACAGCTCGAGGTTCGACCCCGAAGGTTCCCTATGTTCGACCTCGGGGTAGTGCAAATCGGTGGCTATGGTGGACAAGCAAGAAATTTCCAAGGCACGTGGTTAGAGCTGACCAGGTCTACAAAAATAGTACAAGTCCGTACTGAGACATTTAATGGTTGTACCAGCCGCATATCTTTGCAATAAATGCACCTGTACTATGTTGGCTCCTATATAAAGGGGACCCTTATCATTTTGTAAGACACATGATATTCAATACAAGAACAAGAACATTCTCTGCTCTTCAACTTAACCATATTCTACTGTTGCTCCTTTGATTTTATTATTTATATTTATTGCGTTTTATTGATTGTTCTTCATTTATTACCCATCATTGATCATAAAGAGCCATCATCAAGGTCCTTAGAACTGTTAGTTCTTCGTCGACCACCCCCCGTCTGACACTTTAGCTCGTCCTCGAGGCCCAGCGTAGGACAGCACGAGAACCCGATTCATGGCCATTCGGTTTGCACAACGTACTGTCCTCAAGCTCTTATCTCATTTTCCTGACTCACACTTAGCATCTATCACCTAACAACTAGCATTAAAATAAATCACGTATTTTTAGAACCACAAAATCAAATTTAATTGTAATTACCATTTTCAAGGTAAATAGTTTGGCGCCCACCATTGGGTTAAAAATAATAGTGATTGTTTTCGTGTTGGTTTATTGAAAACACAAGTTATTCTTCACACTTTTTCTTGTCCAAGAATCTTTTATTTCATGTCAAAATGTCTAACTCAGTGAATGCACATGAAAACAACGGTCCTGAGAACCATAGAGATAATGGTGTAGCTGTTCCAGGCGCCGATGTACCAGTGCAAAACCCTGAGGACGCACCGGAACCAATCCCCGTGGATGTGGGCTCATGTAACGCCCAACACATCGATATAAGCTCCCACACTAATGGGAGTATACGCCAAGAGAACCAACAAGAAACTTAGAGAACCCCAGCTCGGGAGGAACGAGAGGTTAGCCTTTACGTCATTTTTGAGATATTGCAGGCGCAACAGCTGGCGATTGCTCAACCGCAAAGCCACCAAAAAACTCCAAGCACAGCAGCACCGAAAATGGCTCCTCAAGCCGAACAGGTACCGGAAAGATCGAGCAACAATGGGTCAGCAGCCGACCCCGCTATTATGAATATGCTCGAGGACCTCACAAAGAGCATTGAATTGGGCGAAAAGAAGATAGAAGCAATGACAAAAAGGTGGAGACCTACAATTCAAGGGTCGATCAGATCCCAAGCACACCCCCGATTTTGAAGGGTGTAGATTGAAATAAATTCGTACAAAAGCCATTCCCATCGAGTGCTGCTCCAAAGCCCATCCCGAAGAAATTCAGAATGCCCGATCTCTCGAAGTACAACAGAACCTCGGACCCCAACAAGTACATCACTACTTACACTTGTGCTGTAAAGGGAAATGACCTGAAGGACGACGAGATTGAATCCGTCCTGTTAAAAAAATTCGGAGAAACACTTTCAAAAGGGGCCATGATGTGGTATCACAACCTATCCCCGAATTCGATAGACTCATTTGCCATGCTGGCAGATTCTTTTATAAAGGCACAAGCCGGTGCCATCAAGGTTGCTACAAGGAAATTGGACGTATTCAAAATCAACAGAGAGAAAACGAGATGCTACGGGAGTTTGTATCTCGCTTTCAAATGGAGCGAACGGAATTACCACCAGTATTCGATGACTGGTGATAACTAGGGATTCTAGTTCATTTTATACTCCTTTTAACTTGAGTTTTGATAAAAAATGAATACAGATAGTCCCAAAGGGCTTACATGTTATACTTGTTTGCAGGGTTTGGTCAAGAAAGTGACAAGAGTCAAAAATCAGCTCAAAAAGGAGTGAAACATGCACAAGTACCAAGAACAAGTCAAAGCACATCTGCAACAGACCCACCGCGGCTGTAATCCATTTAGTGCGGCGGTGAGGAGATTCAGAGAAGTGCAATTTTGGAAGCTCATGCACTGCGGCCGCAAACCATTTTGTGCGGACCGCAGTAGCCTCACCGCAGTCGCAATCGATTTTATGCTGTCCGCGGAGCAGAGATTCAGAGAGCTGGGATTTCAATTGTTGGAAGCCACTGCGGCCGCAATCCATTTCATACGGACCGCAGTGAAGCCACCGCGGCCACGGTACATTTTGTGCGGACCGTGGTGGACAGAATCAGAGACCCAAAAAGTTAAGCCAAAAGCCTCACCGCGGCCGCGGTGCATTTTCCGCGATCCGCGGTACCTCCGCAGGGGTATTTTTGTCCAAAAAATTTGGCCTAGTATAAATACTTTATTTTCACATTTTTAGGGTATCTGTTGTAATCTAACTTTTAGCTGAGCACGCGAACGGCTGTTTTTGACTACTTTGAGTAATTTCATAGTTGATTTATCATTGAATCTTCATTTATTAGCTTGTAAACATATCATATGGGTTATTCTTCTTCGAATTATCTATTTTCTTTCATTATTATGAGTAGCTAGACCCATTAGTTAGGGTTGTGGCTCAACCCGTGTGAGTATTTGATGGGTCTTGTGTTTTAAGGCTTAGATGTTTATGGGTGGTTGATATTTGGACTGATTTGAGTTTTCTATGTTGGGTTAGTGGTTGCAAACACTAATTTGTGCCTATTTGACTTGAGCTCTTCTTGAGAAAGAGAGCTTGAGTCTAGGTAATCAGTCCAACAAGGAATTGGGGCGTACTCAAGAGATTGATAGCCCCAATTAAAGGGCTAAATCTAGAGATAGTAATACCCGACTTGGGCCTACATTGCTTGTATAATTTCGACACCCAATTGGTCTTGAGAAAATCAATTTGGGCAAAGTCACTCAAGCTACCGAGAGGTATAGAGTGAGTAGCGTCGTGCATTGGCTATATCGCGATCCCAAACATAACAACTTTGCCTTAGACTCTAGATCCCGTCAAGTATTCACCTAGGGGGAAGTCACTTCCCTAGTGCCTTGTTACCTATTAAAAAACCTTCCAAGTACTTATTCTTAGTCTAATTTAGCATCTCATTAGTATAAAAGTAGAAGTAATCAAAAGAAAAATTATGATTGGAAGTGTAATTAAGAACCTTACGCTCCAATTCCCAATTCTAGCTCCCTGTGGATTCGATCCCGACCTTTACGGGTAAAAGCTGCATTGACCGTTCTCGCCACTCCATAGTGGTGCAGGGTTGGCCTCGATCACTTTTTGGCGCCGTTGCCGGGGAGCTAACGGTTTTGTCTATCTATCTAAATAGTCTTGTGTATTGTTTTTCTTTCCTTCTGTGATACTAATTTGTGTGTGAAGCCAATTCAGGTACAATATGGCGGCAAACAACAACAATGACCCTCTTGGAAACGTGGTTCCGGGGGAGGAGGTTGATGACATCGGTGAGGATGAGGTGCCTCTTGTACCACAAGGACAAAGGTGAGGTCGCCAGGCTAATGCCAATGATAATGTTCCAGACCCTCCCCCGCCACCTCCTAGAATGGCTCCTCGGGTGCTCCCCAACCAAGGATATGCTAGTGCAATTGTCCCACCCCGGATCCAGGCGGGCAATTTTCAAATTACCAATGTGATGCTGACCTTGTTAGAGCAGCGAGGGTATTTCACAAGTGCTCCCGATCAGAACGCTTACAAGCACCTTAAGGGCTTTGTTGATACATGATGGGGGAGCAAGCAAACGAACGTGTCAGAGGATGCCTTGTGGTTGAGACTTTTCCCTTTCTCTCTTCGAGGGAAGGCATTAGATTGGCTGGAGAGACTCCCTAACCACTCCATCCATACATGGGATGAGTTGGCGGACAAATTCATTGCAAATTTTTTCTCGCTGGGGCACATGGCAACTTTGAAGGATGAAATCTTAGCTTTCAAACAGGAGCCCAACGAACCATTGTATAAAATTTGGAGAGGTACCGGACTATGGTAAAGGAGTGTCCCAACAAAGATATGACTGAGGCAATGATACAACAGACTTTCTATCAGGGCATTAACACCACTAACCAGTGCATACTGAACCAACTCGCGGGGGGCAACTTCATGAACACACCATATGATCAAGCGTGTGAGATATTGGATGAGATGGCGGACACTTCTTCCGCTTGGCAAAGCAGAGCAAATGTGCCACAGGGTGACCCCACGGTCATTCACTTGCATAAGGAGCTTCATGATCATGGACAGGCAATAGCAGAACTTACAACAACAATGAACCAGTTAGCAAAGGCACAA